TACAAACAAAGACGTTAAATAGTGGCATGTCAAAAGACAGAGTCGGAGAAGTTCTTGGCTGAGTTAGTTATAGACTACTCAGGCGATTTCTGTACCTACTTACCAACCGAATAAACCCCTTTTTATTGTTACGTGTTATTTGGCGTTTGTCTTTATTAACCCCAAATCAGCATCATAACAGTGGCGACGAGAGATTCGTTCATCACGCTGAGTGGAGAATTTTTCAACTCTAGGTGGACTATATGAACTTTTTTTTTCTCGCTCTGAAAAAAAAAAACAATACGTCAAACTTTGTTCTTCAGGAAGAAATAGGATTTCAACGTGCCAAAAAGAAGTAAGACTTGTACTTATTGTTTGGATATATACGTGTTTTTCCCTTTTTTGACTGTTTTCGAAAAGTGTTTTGTGTAATCTATTACGCATAATGGAAGATTTGATTGCATTAACGAAAACTCTAGTGCAAAGTCAAATTTTGCAATAAGAATTGTTTCGGGAACAGCTATTGGATTTACAAGTTCAGCAGCGAAATGACACAAAGGCTTTATATGAAGCAATTTTACTTAAGAATCCAGTAAATTCGTCATTCACGGCCGAAGGTATTGCTAATTCTATTACTGAGTTCAAATTTAACCCAGAGGAGGGAATAACATTTCCTGCGTATTTCAGAAGATTTGAAACAATATTTGGAAAAAAAATGTGATGGTTGGACTGATGAACAAAAAGTGAGTTTACTTTTACAAAAGTTGGGTACAGATGAAAATAATAAGTATAATGAATTTTGTCCTTCCAAGAAAAACTAGTGACATTTCTTTTTCAAGAAACTGTTAATACTTTATCTAGTATTTTTTGGCGGCGAAGTTAGTTTGTTTCAACACTCGTTTCTCGTGTTTGAATATGGTAAAGCGTGACGATGAGGATGTTGTTACGTATGCTGGAAATGTTAACAGAATGTGTGACCGTTTTATGTTACATGATCTTTCAATTGATCGATTTAAATGTTTGATATTCGTTCAAGGCTTGACTTCTAGCAAAGATAAGGACATAAGGTCCTGAATATTGGCAAAACTCGAACAAGATTCCAAGATCACTTTGCGGAAGAGTGTCAAAGGATTGAAAACTTAAAACATGACAATACCCAAATTGAAGAAAAAGACATATCCCGTGTCCATGCTATTCGACCAAAAACAGGAATAGTTAATAAAAACGGTAAAAACCAACGTGTTTTGGATGCGGTGGTGGTCATTTTAAAAGTGAATGTTTTTTCACGACAAAATTGCTATTCGTGGTGGCAATAAAGGCCATATAAGTACTCATTGTAAAAAGCAAAAAAAAAAAGTTATGTCGAAAAAGATGTGAATATTGTGTTGTCACGTCAGGAGATTGAGGAGGGGCAGAAAAGAAAATTCGTACAGGTAAAAATTAATGGAAAAAATGTTAAACTACAGCTAGATACTGGAAGTGATATTTCCATTATTAATACAGCAACATGGATTAAAATAGGCAGACCTTTGCTTAAAAAGACTGAAAAAGTGGCTCGCGGGATTTCTGGAAGAAAATTGCATTTTCAAGGTGAATTTTCTTGTAATATTTCATTTGTTGGTAAGACACTAAAGTCTAAAGTGTATGTGCTACAAAATGCTTCACATTTGTTTGGAACAGATTGGATTATACTGTTTAATTTATGGGAACTCGCTATAAATTCTTTTTGCAATAGAGTTAATGTTTCTTCTCAATGTAAAAATCGGGTTACAGAAAATTTGTTGAAAGATCTGAAAATAAAATTTCCACAAGTATTTTCAGAAGGTCTTGGATGTTGCAAAAAGGCGAAGGCAAAATTTGAAGTGAAGGAAAATGTAAAACCTGTTTTCAAGCGAAAAAGAAATGTGCCATTTGGTGTTTTGGAACAGATTAACAAAAGAATTGGAACGGCTTGAAAATTTAGGAGTTATTTCAACGCATTGAATTTTCAGAGTGGGCCTGCCCTGTTGTATATGTTAAGAAAAGAATAATAAAATTCGGATGTGTGCCGATTTCTCTCGGGGTCTAAATGATTGCTTAAAAGACCACACATATCCTTTGCCTTCACCAGAAGACATTTTTGCAAGTTTAAGTGGAGGAAAATATTCTCTAAATTGGATTTATCGGATGCCTATCTCCAAGTGAAAGTGGATGAAGAATGTTCTAAATTGTTGACTATCAATACACACAAGGGTTTATACAAATTTAACTGTTTGCCGTTTGGTTTGAAAGTATCCCCTAGTATTTTTCAGCAAATTATGGACACTGCGCTGGCAGGTTGGACTTCGCCATTGCATATCTTGATGATATTTTGATAAAAAAGTAAAGATCGAAATGAACATTTGGAACATATTAATAAGGTTTTTGAAAAAATTGAAGAATATGGATTCAAACTTGCAGCTGAAAAATGTGAATTTTTATGAGTGAAATTAAGTTTTTGGGGCAGATAATAGACTCTGATGGAAGAAGACCAGATCCGGCGAGGGCAGAAGCGATCAAAAGCATGCCATCTTCCAAAATGTAATAACGCTACAAGCGTTCTTAGGACTTGCTAACTATTATGGGATATATATTCCTAATTTGTGCAGCCTTACGGCTCCATTAAATAAATTGCTTAAAAAGGGAGCAAAGTGGGAATGGTCAGAAGGCGTTTGACAAAATAAAGAATATTTTGACGTCGGAATTATCACGAACACATTATGACCCTAAACAGGAAATTATAGTGTCATCGGACGCAAGCGAGTACGGAATAGGTGCGGTAATTTTGCATAAATTCAGAGACGGCAATCTGTCCAGTGGCACATGCATCAAGGACATTATTACCCGTAGAAAAGAAGTACTCTCAAATTGAGAAAGAAAGCTTAGCTATCATCTATGCTTGTAAAAAATTCCATAAGTATATACATGGAAGAAGGTTTATATTGCAGACTGACCATCGCCCGCTGCTTTCAATCTATGGTTTGAAGAAGGGTATACCTACTATACGGCAAACCGTTTGCAACGATGGGGGAACCATTTTGTTGAATTACAATTTCAAAATGGAATTTTTATCATCGAAAAATTTAAGCCATGCTGATGGTTTATCTAGGCTGATCCCAATGTCTTCGGAACCGCTAGAAGATACGGTGATAGCGTCGTTACAAAGCAGAAAATGAATTGGTGGAAGTAATGCATAACACAGTAAAAAGAATTACCGGTGACATTAGATGAAATAAAATTAAAATCAGAAAAACGACATTTTATTAAAAAAATGAAAGAAGTTGTAACTTCAGAAAAGTATAAAACTTCTTCACCAGCATATTCAATATGTGATGAAGTGCTGTTATATGCTGGAAGGGTCATGATACCGGTTGCACTAAAAAAAGCGGATTTTGAAGGAATTTCATCAGGGGCATCCTGGTATTGGACCTATAAAGCCCTGATGAGGAGTTACGTTTATTGGCCAAATATGGACAAAGACATTGAACAGGTAGTTAAAACTTGTAGAGGGTGTCAAATGGCAGCTTAAAGCACCGCCAGTAAAATACACACCATGGCCAAAAACAAATGTTCCATGGACCAGACTCCACATAGATTATGCTGGACCCATGAATGGTAATTTTTACTTGGTAGTTGTGGATAGCTATTCCAAGTGGCCTGAGGTTTTTAAGTGCAAAAGACCAACTGCTTCTGTAACAAAAGATTTTCTTACAGAACTGTTTGCATGGTTTGGAGTACCAGAAAAAATTGTCACAGACAATGGAACTCAATTCACAGGAAGTGAATTTAAGACGTTTTGTAAGACTCTGGTATTTGACCACATCCCGACTTCACCGTACCATCCTAGGTCAAATGGACAGGCTGAACGGTTTGTTGATACGTTCAAGAGAGCCCTTAAAAAAACAAATGATACTAATACAGATGATGGTAATATACAGCAGTTTTTAAGTATATACAGAATAACACCAAATCCAAACGCAATATCAGGGATGTCTCCAGCTGAACTGATGTTTGCTAAAAAAATTACATCTGTGTTCAATAGGCTGCTGCCGGAAAGAAAAAAGAGTTACCAGAACAAAACGCATCAGGAAAATATGAAATATTTCAGGCCGGGAGATAGTTTTTTTTAAAAATTACAAAAATGGGAAGGAATTTTGGCAAGATGGAGTGGTAACGCAAAGAATTGGTAAAATGTTGCACATAAGAAGTAAAAAATGGATGCACAAAAGACATTTGAACCAATTAAGGAAAAGAATCATCGAAAAAATAGGTAAAGAAAATGAAGAACCAATGGAGGTATTATATGATTTATTTGATATACCAACTCCACCATTGCCGGAAACAGTTGTCCAAAGAAGGACAAGCAAAAGAAAAAGAACTCGGGTGGAACGTTTAAGTCCAGATCCGAAAAGGAAAAGATATTAATTCCTCCGGAATTAATCTCAAGGGGGAGGTGTTGTGTAGGAAACCTACCACCCCTCTTGAAGATGAACTTGTCTACAAACAAAGACGTTAAATAGTGGTATGTCAAAAGACAGTCGGAGAAGTTCTTGGCTGAGTTAGTTATAGACTACTCAGGCGATTTCTGTACCTACTTACCAACCGAATAAACCCCTTTTTATTGTTACGTGTTATTTGGCGTTTGTCTTTATTAACCCCAAATCAACATCATAACAGTTTCAATTAATAAAGATAATACTGGAGGGAGAGAGGAATTGAAATGAAAAGCTGAATACTGAGAATTTAACAAAATACTGAATAAATGAGACTGATAGAGTAGAAACCTTCAGAAAATGAAGTATAAATAGATATTTGTTGAACTCAGCCAACTTTGTTATAAAGTTATTTTTATGTAACACTTAGTGAGGAACAAATTCTATAGCTTGATTATCAAGTTAGTCATCATTCTTTGCAGTTGTTTTAAAAAAGTGTTTAATGTCACTTAGTGAACTTGATATGTACATATGAATGTATTCCTACATTTGGCTTACTGCTACATCATGTTGAAACACTGGTTCTCATATGATTACCAAAATTAAGCAAAGCCGAGTCCTGATCAGTACCTAGATGGGTGACTGCTTGGGAATATCAGGTGCTGCAAGCTTGGATGTGCAGGTGGTGTAATTGATAATGGCTCATTATATTCACTTGTATGCAAATAACCTTGGGAAAGATATGAATCAGCCTTTTCTCCCAAAGCTATGAGTTACTTAGTAAGATTGATATCACTAAATTATTATCTCCAAAAACAAAAATTCTTACAATCTAAATGTTTTTTATTCGTTTTCTACAGCTTATCAGGTTATTTAAACCTGATAAACTGTAGAAAACGAATCAGTCTATTACATACCTACAATTTTGATACACAATGTAGTTACTAGGATTTTCTGTTTGGAATACCCTTTGAGGACCTTTTTCTAATTAAATAAATGGATTTGATCTGACCTTAGATCACTCTTGATAAAATTAGCAGTGTTACTTTTTTAATCTAATTTCATGTGTGTCTTCATAATGAAATACTATAATTTATGCTCATTAGCATAACACCTGCTAAATGTAGACCCTGTTGTTATACCATTAAAAAAAAAAAAAAATTTCATAGTATATTTTGTATTTTTGATATCTTTAATAACCAAGCAATACAAATAGTTCCTTCACTGATTCCTAAATCTAAAGCACTTTGTGTCAGAAATTACTTTCATTTTTTTTTTTTTTTTTTTTTTTTTAACTTTCTGTCAGTTGGCCGACTCTCTTCATTTCTAAGCCAGACAATTCATCTGAATAACTATCAAATCCATAAACTGCTAATATGAGAAACAGAAAAGACTTGGCTAAAAGGCCCATAACAAGCGCACAAAATAATTACCAACATTTAACACCCATTATAGACTGTATGGAGGAATGGCAATTTTGTTAGACTATCAATTCTGGCTAAAATGATGGAGAAGTGAAGCTCAGAGGAAGGAGATTGGCAATAGTATTGATTTTATTTCTTTTCTCTTTAGATCTCAATTTTCAATAATACATGCACATTGGAATTTTAATTGAAAAAAAATATAATTTAACAGATATTTTTAAATGAACTGAAAAAACATCCTATTTTTATTGATTTTGACAAAAATAATTTTTTTTTTCTCTTCTAATTTTCAAACAGGTAATCTGGTATTAAATAATTTATAACTAAAACAAAAATTTATTTTTTAAAATTTTTTTTCTTCACTGACAAAGCTATTTAAATAATATCACTTAGCTTTCAGTATGATGTAAACTGAACAGTTACAATGAAATGAGCATTATAGATATATGTTCACAAAAATTCTCTGAGTATACAAACAAGATTTTAATATGCTTGGAATTTGGAAAATCACCTGTAATTATTTAGAAGGCTGTTACATATTAAATTTGTGTGGTAACACACATTTATGTGCAGATTGATAGATAAAACTTCAATACCTAATTTAACAACATGAAAAAATGAATTGATCAAAGCTTAAATTATATACCTCATTTTAGAATTTGGTTAATGAGTTGCTTTTTTTCTTTTTCTTTTTTTGTTTTACTTTATTTTCTTAATACAAATTGCTATCCCCAACTTTTTTAAAAATGTCTCAGCAGGGGATGACAAATGGATTTAAAACCTGTATTTCTGTCATTAAGCTCTATCAGGTTTCTGTTCCATCTTTAGAAACCTTGAATGAACTCAGTAGAAATTAACCTAATTTTTGTCACCTTGTTACTAGCAATTGATGTGACCTGTGTCTAGATTTAGCACTGTCCATTCAGCACCAGGGATTATGTCAACTAATCAGAACACTCACTGTAAACTTAAATTCTGTCAACATCTAAATACATGTATTTAATAGTAAAATAAATCAGTTTCTGGACTGGTAGAATAGATAGAAGAGTGTAATCCTCTTGGAAGTTATGATTTGTTTTTTAGAATTTGGGCATAATTAATATTAGTGATTTTATTTCTTTTACTAAACTACTACTTGCATTTTGCTTTTTCATCAATTGTTATACTGTTTTCACTATCAATTGACATGCTGTCTTATTTGGTAAAAATTAACCAAATTATCAACTTTATAAGCAAACAGGTTTTGATTTAACCTTTTTTGAAAAAAAATCAGTTATCTTTAATGTCTATTCTATTCAATCACAGTTAGCACCTGCTCAGATTCTTTCATCTATCAATGGTCATTTATGAACCCTGAACAACTTGACAATTGATAAGTAAAGTTGAATTTTTCCAATAACTCAAAATTCCTGATCAATAAAGACTAAGATTTTTTTTTTATTCCCCCAAATTAACTATTAGTCAACATATTTCTAATGAAAAGTACTCTAAATCTTTGTAAAAAAATATTTCACTATATTTTCATTTGTTACATAGCTAACTAAAAAGAAATATTAATCTGGTTTTATTAAAAATACTTTTCCAATGTTTTGAGTTAAAAAAAAAAAAAATGGTAGTTATATAGTTTGCATCATGACATCTATAAAGTTTATAGATTTTGAATTAGAGCTGTCTCTTTCTAATCTCATTAGAACAATTTTTTTTATCTATATTTGGAATATAATTTAATACTATTTTCTCTTAAAATACTGCTCTGACACTGAACAGTTGATATTTCATATTTCAATATTTAAAATACCTCAACTGATATTTATATATCAAACATAACAAATTTTAACTGACAGCAATGATTGTAAAATAGATATTTCTTATAAATTTCATTTTTTTCCCTTTAGTCTAAAATGTAGGACTACATTTCAGAATGAGATCTAGGTCTGCCATATAACACTAAAAAAATGGTATACCCTGGAGAAAAAGGTCCCCAAATTGATAAAAAAAATTTAATGTGTAAATGTTTATGTTAGTATTAAAGAGGGAAGACCAAAGTATTTTCTGAATATTTTTTCAGATTTTTTAATCCTTCCTATAAATGTTAAAAATTTTACTTAAAAATCTTGTTTTTCTCGAATCAAAAAAATTTCATAAATTCAATACTATCAGCCAGTTCTGCCAGAGTTTTTAAACAAAAATCAAATGTATCAAAAAAATCATGTAAAATTCAGTTACACCTTTTTCTTTTGTTATCTTAGGAAATTTAGAATGATTAAAGTATACTTAATGTAATTTGAAACAAACATTACTTACTTTTTTAGCAGAAAATTTTTTAATAGAGATATTTCCAACCGTGGTGCTTGCTTAGGTGCGTGTTTGAGGGGTGTTAATTGATGTACGTCAATATATTGACAACTTACGTTAGGAGAAATTATCGTACAGTAGCGCAGAAGTGATGTAATTCGTTCTAATTTTAAGTGAACCTGGTTAGTAAATTAAAAAAAAAATCACTTTCAAATTTTTTTTTTTTTTTTTTTTTTAACCTTACATTTGAGGAAAAATTTCTGCACTGATAATAACATTTAAATTATGAAAAAAAATCAAATTTTACAAGTAAAAAAATAAAACGGTAACAACATTTTTTTAAATTGAGTTGTATTATTTGTCATGAAATATTTTTCTGAGAATATAAAAATTACATGAAACACCATTAAATTTCATAATTGAAACAGGTTAACTTAATGAAATGAGATTTTATTTCTTTTTATTAAGGCAGACTTTTTTTCTATTTATTAATACTTGGGATATGGCAGTCATGGGAGTTTTATACATATTTTATTTATTAATAAAATTAACATTGAAATGCTATGCAATCAATTTCAAACTTTGCTGTGTTGTTAACTGAATGAAGGCAAAGCAATTTCTGAAGTAAAAAGAACTTGCTTCTATCAAGAGAAACAAGTCTACCTCATATGACATTATTTCAAAGCTGTGCATCCATACTTTCGTTGGAGACGATTTTAAATACAATTTTGGAATATTAAAAAATTATTTTAAAAATATCAACGGTTGTCAGATTTTAATGAGGTTTCAAATTTATGATCTTTAAAAAGTAGAGAACATAATATGTCATTTCCATAAGGTTGCATAAAGAAACTTAATTTTAAAATATATAACATTTTGTCATATTGTGTATTTAAAATAGAAAAAAAAAAAAAATTATTGTAAAAATTCATTTTTCATCAAAATTTTTTTTTTTCTTTCAGATAAAAATTACCTTAGTATATGTTATTCAGAAAAGTCATAAAAAGCTTTTTTAATTAAATATTGTCTTAGTTTTATTGGGTTTTGTATTTTTACAATTGAAGTTTGGACAATTTTGCGCATTTTTTTACCAAAAAAATTGATGATATAGAATCTTCAGAGTCTTGTGCATTTAATTAAAAAAAAAAATTCAGGTTGCAAAAATAAATTTTTGAAGTTTTCATAAAATATTAAGTTCAAGGGGTGTAACATATATAAAAAAAAAAAAATATTTATACCATGACTTTCAAAAAGACAAACATTTCTAAAATAATTTCATTCATTTGTGAATAAGTTCTGAAGGTTTCATTAAATCCAACTAGTACTTGATTTTTGCAAGATTTTCCAAATCAATGTGTTTTTTTTTTTCAACTGAAGACAGTGAAAAACAAGTAATTCTAATTATTACCTAATTTTTGACCTAAAAAAAAACAAGATTTTCAACCTAAATTTAAAACATGCTGAAAATGAAAAAAACTTTTAAAATAATTGAAAAATACCTTGGTCTTTAATCGTAATAATAAACTTTTTCACGATAAAATTTTGTTTTTATTAAAAAACCTTAAATTGCCTTTTTTCTTCATGCTATGCGTTTTTGGGCGACAAAAGGGTCAGACCTACCTTTGACAGAAACAGTATTTACCAATTTACCATCAGTATAAAGGAATCTTTTTGCTGTCATGTTAACCAAATCCTGTGGACCAAGTCATCATAGATCAGTACTTCTGTCAGTTGCTTATACATAGTGTTGATTGTAAGCACAGCTCTTTTGATACTGATATGTATTTTTTTATTTATGCATAAACAAATATGATTAGTAAATTTTGATAAAAACCCTGTCAAAATTATTTATGTAAAGTTAGGATCTTTTGTTTTTCCTTTCTTTATTTCTGATTATAAACTCCTTTTTAAGTATTTTATAATTGTAAATAATCCAAAATCTTTAAGAGTA